CAGACTGGTTATAATTCAGTGTTCACAAGGCTGAGTAACCATGGGATATAAGAATAATGCTTTTTATACAAAAAAAAGCATTTTGTAGTTGAATGAATATACACAAACATACTATATATCTGTCTGTCTACCAATTACATAAAATTTGGAAATAATTGGTCATATTTTAGTGAACATTTTATTCATTTTGATTATTAAATTATAAGGTGTTGCTTGAGAAAAGTTAAATCATAGGTTGGTATCTAGTTGTCCATAAAAATTAATCACCTCTAAAAATTGAGAATGATTGATTTCCTTCTCATTAAGATCAGGTCAATGGTTTCACAAAGCATAATTCTAGCTAGTCAGAAAACTGAACAGATTCTTTTTTGAAAATCAATTTGCATAGGTACTCCTGCGTTATGCATGGCCTGAATGATTATCCCTAGAGGTAAAGTCTAAGATGAAGACAGAAGCCTTCAAGAGATGCTGAGAATACAAATAACTGAAGACTGCTTATAGAGTTACCTGGCAAAAATATGTTTGTCCTCAACAGTTAATAATACTTTGAAACTATCTGTGATCTTTGCTACCAATTATGATAATATAAACTACACTTTTAATACTTCTGTTAAGATTAGGCATTCATATTTGTTCTAGACATCATTAGAGAAAGATGTAATACCAAATGAACTGTGAGATGTTGATAACAAACATATTAGAAATTAGTATAAATATTATTCCAAAATGCAATTTTTACAAATATTGAGTTATGGAGAAATCACTTTTTTTTCAGGATATTAATGGAGTTTATTATCAGGATGCCTGACATAAGTATTACTGTGAATCTGTGCTATTGTTTCTATGATCAATAAAATTCTTAAAAAGTTATTATGGATTAATGTGGATCATCTATTATGTTCATGTGACATAAACACATTTTACCTTAATAAGGCATAGCAAATGTTCTCCTAATTTAAGAATGCAACTAAAATTTAAAATTTGATTTACATTTACAGCATGAAGTAGAGAATTCTGATACAGAAATGTAGTTCAGCTAAAAAGTAGGTTTGGGATAAATAATAATAGATTTCCTATTCTTCTCTTTGCTAGAATATATCAGTATATAAAGGTTCTGAAGTTTCTTTTTATAACCCTTTTTTAAAAACAATTTTTTAAATGAAGGTAGGGAGACTTCAGCCCAAACACATCAATGTACTAATGTTGCCATTAAATCATAATGATACAAAGAATAGTATAATTACTGAAAACTCCAAAACTGGGTCAACTTAATCCTTTGGTTGGATGACATGCTTTCATATTTGGACAAACTAATCTTGGAATCCCAGCTGTTGGAAGCATCTGTTGTAGAAATGAATAGGAAGACAAGCAGTATGTCATCTTTATCAGCTCAAAGATGAAGAATGCTATATTAGCTTATTTGCACAGATTGTCATAAAATCTCAATATTCCTTTGGAATTTAATTGTTTACCAACTTTTCAGGAAATCAACCTGAAAAGCACTAAAAATTAATAAGTGAAATTATGCAAATAACAGACTTTTTTGGTCAGTGATCATTTTAGTTTCAATCTCTTCCATACTGACTAGATAATTATTATCTAGATTCATGTCACCAATTTTGCTAACAAAACGAGTTGAAAAGAGGCAGGCTCACACTGATTTAGAATTAATAAAGATTCAGTCTTATGACCTCAAAAAGGAAGATTCTGCATGTGTCAGCAGAGTATCCAGAAGTTATTTACTAACATGCATTCACTTTCAAAATATTTATTGTAAGAAGCTCCATGCAGTTGCTCATGTTAGGCAACTGTTAAAACCACAGTCACTACAGGAAATTAAACAGAACAAATAGAGTTTTAAAAAATGGAACTACTGTGATCTTAAGTCTAAACCTAACCCAATGTACGTGATCAGAGAATACTTTCCTATGATATCACAGAAGCCCAATTAAATTTATTTAAAACACTGAATTAATTCAGGAAGTAGACTAGACTTGTAATCAGCGCTGAAACTTTTCTAGTACCTAATTAGCTAGAAAAGTGGTACACAGACTTGTTTCCAGTTCATTTACTAGCACAATCTCCAAAGGCATTTTCAATTGGCTATATTTTCATTGAATTCATAAAATTTTTCAAAGTTAGTTAAAGCTTTGGAAATAATGTTAAATGTCTTTAGCTTTGGTGAAACTTTTTTTCTGTTTCTTAAAAGAATTTTCATGCCTTGACAAAGTAATTTTTAAAATAGAAAGTAGTTAACAATAAGAATCTATCTAACAACCAAATTCTGTTATTGCTGATAGTGTAGAATTATTTTGGAATTAGAGAGTTAGAAGTAACTTCTATGAATGGGAAATATTTCCCTTGTAATTATGGTAAATTTAGACCAAGTTTTATATACTTTCTAATAACAATGGGATCCAGAGATGGAGTCCTTATGAAAAGGGGAATTTGGAGACAGAGTAGCACCCCAGAAGAACATCGTGAGGACTTGTAAATGACCACCTACTAGCCAAAGAGAAGGCCCGAAAAGTTCCTTTTTTTCACTTCCCTCTGAACAACTGCTCAGTGACCCCAATCAACTGAATGGTTCACTGGACATCTGCTCACTTCACCGTATGTTTCCCACTCCTTCCATCTTTGCCTGTCATAGAAGGTTCTGAGTATCAAATGTGGAGTTGAAGTCACATTAATGGAGCCCACCTTCTACCATCTGTCTCTCCCCAACGTTTGTCATAACCTTTGCCAGTATTTGTCAACATGTTTTTATCTACCACTAGATTGAGGACCTCTTACCTTCCAATCTGAAACACTACGATTTAGAAAGTCCCCAAAATTATGTAAAGTAAAGGAATTAAGGAGGGAGACGGAAGAGGGACATTTTCTGTGTAGCAGGAGGAAGGTGAGATATGAGGGAAGATTAGCATAACACAGTGAAGTAAAAATTATAAAAACCAACAATCCTCCAAATTTTAAAATTCTCACTTTAGTTTACATACCGTGTTTCCCCGAAAATAAGACATCCCCTGAAAATAAGACCTAGCGCAACTTTGGGAGAAAAAATTAATATAAGACACTGTCTTATTTTTGGGGAAACAGGGTAAAATGGTTATTATTTATGAAAATCTTAAGTTCTTTTCTATATCTACCCAAACTCTTAAAATTCATAATATACATTTTTTGATAGAGCAGTTTATAATATGCAGTTTTCTTTTTTATCACAAGAAATTGTACTGATCCTCATAACCAGATTATTTAAGTTAAATATCCTAAAAAAGAAAATACAGAAAAAATTCTAGTCATCCAATGCCTCTCCAGGTAATGGAGCGCTATCACACAGGTAAATTGTTTATCTCATGACCATCCTAAGCAAAACAGATGTTTGCAGTTGAGAAAATCGAACTTCAGAGAGGTTAATCGGGGCGAGTGCCTTGGAGCTCTCAATAAATTGAAGGAAAAGATGAGGTAAAAGGCAGAAATATTAGATTTGCTCTTTTGAAAATGCTTCCGTGAGAGGAATGCAATCTTAATCAGCAACAACAGATACTTATTCAGCATTTACCTCTTGGAACCAGCTCTGTTTTTCCTGTGATAGAAATTTTATCAGAAGAAAGAGCAGCCATCACTTCACAGCACTTGAGACAGCAATTTTTTTTTTGAGAGATCTGGGCCTTTCCAATAATTTACTCCCTGAACACTTTTACATTTAGGGTGGCAGGAATAGTAATTATTAACTGTTTAACATCTAATATAGCTGGCATACTCTTTTCTTGGTTAAACATATGCTATAGTAAAGAGCTTCCTTCCGTGTGGGCATATAATTTGGATGGGTCTTAAAAAATTAATAGGTATTGATTTAGGAATAACACACTGGTCTCCCTCACCCAGCACCTTCATGTGTCTCCTGTCTTATCTGCCCAACTAGTGTTCCCATCCAGACAGGCTTCTATTGTTTACTTAGCTTTAACTTTTTTAAAAAAAAATAGTATGTTTTTATTGATTTTTTTTTTTTTTTTTTGAGAGAGAGAGAGGTAGGAAGAGAGAAACATCCCTGCAAGAGAGAAAAATTGATAGACTGCCTCCTCTATATCCTCTAGCAGGGGTCCTCAAACTTTTTAAAGTGGGGGCCAGATCACGGTCCCTCAGAGAGCTGGAGGGCCGGACTATATGAACTACTAATTCCTACTGTAACACCTCAGCTGTGCTCACTGCCCAAAAAACCTGGCGGGCCGAATCAGACTCCTCTGCGGGCCGCATGTGGCCCGAGGGCCGTAGTTTGAAGACGCCTGCTCTACTGGGAATAAAGCCAAAAACCAGGGTATGTGCCCTGCCCAGCGACCTACTGGTGCATGGAATGATTCTGAACCAGCGACCTACTGGTGCATGGAATGATTCTCTACCAACTGAGCCACACTGGTCGGGGTACGTGACTACTTTTTTCAGATGCTTTATGTGGTCATCCTTCTGCTAATTTTTGAACACATAGAAGAACATCTTTTTAATCATAGAACCATGAGGAGAAAGATTCAAGAGATCTTTATGTCCACTGCTATTTAAATGCCAATACATCCTAACCTATATTTGGAACTAAAACACTGGGTTACAACAATGAAAATACTTCTTGTATCCGAGTAGTGCATTATAGATAATTGCAGACTCTTTTTCTAAAGCACAGTTGTAATGGTTTATATTATCTTGGCAATAAATAAGAAAAGGTATAATCAAATCTAGCAATCATGGCATCTTTGCTTTGATGACATATTCTTGGTTGTATAAATGTGATTTATTTGACATCAAATAGATTTTTATGTCAAATAAATGTGATCGAGGAATAAAACTTCCATTTATAATTTGCCCTGAAGTAAAAATGAGAACGATTCACCCACAATCTGTATTGTGACTGCTTTCTACCTTGTTTGGATAAAAAGCAGAGATTCCTAATTATGCTGACTTAATTTCCTAGGACTGAACATTGGGAAGGAAGCAGTGTGCAAGAGACTTACCCACTCTTCCTCATCGTAGTCCGAATGATGGGGTATGGAGTCCTGCCTTCTCATTGGCGGGGGTAGATCCTGGGGACTGCTCTCCTCTGTGCTGCTCTTGGGCGAGGGTGGCTTTTTAAGGATGCCTCCTGGCCTGGCAGTGTAAAGTGCTAAGAGAGCGCTTCTGACCAGCTGATCCTTAAAAGCATGAACAAAAAGCTCTGTCTGGAAAGAAATTGACAAGGATTAGAAATACCGTGGTAAGCATCTCAGCATAGAGCTATGGAAAGGTCAATTGCAGACTTGTTGGCACTTAAGAGAAAATGATTCACACCAATGAATGGAACATCGTTTGGTGTGGGGATGTTGCCAAGGCCTTGAGTCCTATGGCTCTAAAAGTCAATGTGGAGGTTCTGTGTGCGCTATAAACACCATCTGTCTCCTCAGCCCCTCACTTTTAGTTCCACATCCTATCTTCGGAGATGGATTTCACTGGGAATCATCATTCGAAAACCATCTACCTTTCAAGTAATTACAAATAGACCTTAAAGGAAAATGCCATCAGACTATGGATAGTCTACATTTGAAACAATGTTAACGGCTAAAGAAAGACATGTCTTTTAGAGGCAGGAGACTTGCTTTTTACAAATTTCAACAGTAGAGATGACATAGCAGTCTTCTCATGAAAACACTGGCTTTTATTCCTTATTATCACCCCCTAACTGTCTCCTCCACCAAATGGTTTTAGTAGTGCTTGATGTTAGCGAGGTTACTGTAAAGCCTACGTTGGAGGATGTTGTAGGCTGATGGCAAATAACCTAGTGAGTACTGGAATAATGACAGCTTCCCAGCGATAAAGAGCTTCACAGCTGTACTTTTCAATTTCCCGATGAAATGTTTAACAGCTTCACCCCGTAATATACTGGAGGGGGCAGAGATTGATTTTCTGTGTCACAGTATACTTAGCATGCACATGGGCTCAAAATCTGTTCAAAGAGTGGAGAAGTCACTCACGCACTGACCTATATTATTATCATATTTATCCTTTGTAATCTCTTAGGAAGGGGTCCTTTAAGTCATAGCATTATTTTTAATAACAGTTGATATAATTGCCATTTAATGTAACTCTTGACTAGAATGCTGACTGCCATAAGTCTGTAGCTGTAAGTCTGGGTACCTGTTTATTGGTGCTCTCTCAATGTACAGTCAACACTGCCATGTCTAACTGGTGGTTACCAAATTGTCTCTGCCTCCCTGTTGTGTCCACATAATTAAAGAAAATAAGTTAAACCACGGGTAAAGCAGGGACCTAATAAGATGATGTCATAGCTTCTTTGCAATAGATCATGAAATTCTAGAACTGAAATGGACTTTAAAGTGGACCTCTTCATTTACCAGATAAGGAAACTAGGAAACCAGTGTGGTGACCTGTCCAAGGCAGATTGCATATTAGCAGCACAAATGGGACAGATCCCGTGTTTTGACAAATTCAGTAGTTTTTTTCTTACTCCACACCACCTCCCAGCCACTGCAACTATGGTAGAAGTTTCTGTCTTTCCTCTTCTTCCCAATCTCAAACTTTCCAAGTGTATTGAACAGCTACCAGCCCTCAGAATTAATTGTGTACACAATTGGCCATGTAACTATCTTCACTGCCAAACTTTATTGGATATTTTAAACACTCCTTTAATCTAGAGGCACTTTAAAGGGTTTTAAACAAGAAATATGGAAAAAAGATTACATAAGAATAAAATATTGGAAAATATTTTTGTGATATACTAGGAATCAAAATAAAAAGTACCTTTTTTATTTAAAAAGTGCTTGGAAAATTTGACTTGACAGTATTCAAACAAGTCAGTATAGCTATAGCAAAATGGGGAAATATGTTGTTTACATAATATTTCATATAACATAAATGTGTCTATCAATGTTAATGTAAATATGAAAAATGTGAATTTACTTCCATTCAACTTAACTAGACTATTTCTCTGTAGGTAATTTCAATAAAGTCTTTTGATTTATTTTTAGAGCAAAAGAGCTTGCCTTCTTTGAATTCCTGCTACCACATCTCTAGTCCTATACCACTCACATAATTACTATGTAGCTAAATATCTATTCACATGCAATGAAATCTTGTATGGTTCTTATCATTGTAATCATTTTCTTCCCATATCATGCACACACTTCATTTATTCAAATCTCATTTGGGTTGATTTATCACCAAGTCATGGGAGATAATACAGTGAATTCTTATAATTCTACAACTCAGAAATTTGGGGTTGTAATAAAATACAATACACAAAATCTTAAGAGAACACAATAATAGCTGATCTTTTACTTTGTGTTTATACTGAAAAACTTATCTGACTCCTTGGAAACTCCCAAGATCCTATATGTAGAATCACATTCTGTTAGAAAATAGAAAATACTCTATTCACAGGACCTGGAAACTAATTGTAATTTTCTTGAGCAGCATTACTTAGTTTGGACCAATGTAGACCCCGATATTTTAAAGTCAAATAAGTAAGCTTATAGAGATTAATATAGTCACAGAATTCCAAAACACCTGAATTTTGTTGTTCTTGCAACTGAGAGGATACTAGGGAAGCTAAAATTCATGGCTAGAATGTGACCATGTCTCTGAGTTGCTTCTTGCCTTGGAGTTCTGATAAGCTATTTTCTTTTCTGACTCAGCTCACCTTACATTAAGTTAAGAGAGAAAGGTTGTCGAAATGTTACCATAAAGATAGACAAGACAATGCACTTAAAGTATCAGTTCAATAATACACTAAAAAAGCATAAACTTAAGTAAAGGCAACCCATTTCATTTGTTTGATATTTTAAAAAGAGAAATGTTACCTGAAAAGTGAGATGTTTTTCTGCCTTACTGACATTTCTCCAATTCATATTCTCATATATATTTTCAAAGTAACTTGAAATATCAGCAAGTATAAAAGTACTAAAAACTAGTTCTCCTGGGAATAAATTTCCTGACCATCAATGGCAGAGAAATTGTTAGGACATGTTCATTTAAAGTGACTCTTTTTAACTATAAATCTCAACAAATTAATCAAAGTCCCCTTCTATTTAGAATGATCTTATTGTCACTAAAAAATTCAAAGCTGTCTAATCCCACCTGCAATATGGAATTAGCCAATGGAATAAACAAGTGACTATCATTTTAGTTGTCATATAAATGGCAAGAAAGAATCCCATTTTATTTTTAAATTTGATATGTTTTAATTATTTTGCAGGGCATTGGAAAATGGGCAGTATAGAGAGACCAACTGTATGATTTTTCTAACTATCTAGCTTACTTTCAGAGGCAGTTTCCAGGCCATGGCACAAGGAGGAAGAAGCCACACATGAAGCCACAAACTGAGAAAACAGAGATTAGAGCTTGGAAAAGCCAAAGTGGTTAGTTAGAATTCACAGAAAAGAGTGCCAGACAGGAGGGAACTGCTCACAGAAGAGCCCTGATGATCTGTAAATGGGTGCTTTTACATCTTTATGAGTACTGATCTGCATGTGCTAGAGGACCAGGGGTCATAAGGGCTGGGAAGAGCTCATCTTCCCACCATCAGAGTGGGCTTTGTAATACAGAGGGCCTTGTGTAGAGCCCTCAGGATAGTGTGGCCCTAGTGCTGGGGCTAAATTACTCCTATGTTAAAGCCTGCTCTATCTCCTGCTCTGACAGAGCTTTAAAAGAAGGCTTGAAAGGATCTTACTGGTTGCTAATAACTCAACTTCACACTGGCACAAAATCCAACATTATTTAAAGGAATACAATAAAATCCAGCAACCAAGAATGTAAAATACAAAATTCCTGTTATTCAATACAATATACCAACCATATAATGAAGCAGAAAATTTCGAGCCATAATTAGAAAAACACACACACAGAGGTAGCTGATTTTATCTCCCTCCCAACTGCCTGCTTCCTTGCTGATGTTGAAACTATTGACCTGCATGGGCATCATATCAAGGTTTTGCTGCTCTATGACCTTCCTAGAGTGGCAGAAATAAGTGGTCTGCCATCTTGCCCCACAGCACAGGCACTGCAGGAAAGAGGAAAGTCACCCTGAAATGGAAAGTTCTGCAAGCTTGTTTTAAAAACAAACAAATAAACAAAGACGAACAAACAAACAAACAAAAACTTTTTGCTCAAACTTGCAAAAGTGTCCATTAAGTCATTAGTAGCAAATTTAATTAATTAATTAAAAAATAGAGGACCAGTCTTGGGGCATGGAATCTGAACCACCAGCAGCATAGCTAGATAGAAATTAATCATACTTTATTTTAAATCATAAGTTACAAATTGTCTTCATATACCATGCAAAACTCTGTTAACTTGGATAAATATTTGAACTTCCAGTGACACATTCTTAAAATGAAAATGCATGGCTTGAAAACCTAAAAAGATCCTCCTGGTTTCAAGGGCTGACAGATTTATTAGTAGACGAAGTGTGTCTACTCAATAAAAATGTATATATGAAAAAGTTGGAGCGATGCTGAATTGAAGGAGGTGAAAATACATGCCATGTCCCCCCACCCAAATCACTGCAGCAAGTTGCAAATGATGTATGCAATGACAAGGCCCTGCTTAAGGCACAGGAAGAACATAAATCCTGCACAGTGATCACTGAAGCGATGTGCTACCTACTGACATTTCTGCTTAGGTGAATCCAAAAAGCCTCACCTCCACCCAGAAATTCCAAAAGGAACTGGACCAAAATGAAATTATATTATTTTACTGTGTATAACACTTTCTTCTTCCCCCTTCTCTTTTCCCTGGCCATAATATATTTATTGATGATTAGATATATTTATTGACTATCTGAATACTTAAGCATTGCTGACAAATTTGTCTAAAATTTTCTTTGTAATTTTAAAAATGTGAAAGTCAAAATGCATATATTACATAGAGGATACTGGAAAGTTTCCTCTCTCCTTGGTTTTCCCCCCCCTTGTGCTATCACCTAGAAACTGCCTCAGGAAGTGAGCTAGACAATCAGTATGTACCCACCACTTCAAAATGAAGTAAATTAACACTAGTCATGAAGCCCTTAGCACAAGATTTGGCAAAATCGGTACTTATAAAATTTGGGTCAGTTTTTCTCTCCTTGGTCATGATGGAGGCACTTGATATGACATAGAAAGAATGTTGCATTTCAAACTGAAAGTCTTGGACTTTGACTTTTTCCCTTTTTAATTAATTAGATAATACACTTGACATTTCTGAACAGGTATTAGGTAATTTTTTATAAAAATAGATATTACTTATATCCTTTGAGAATATCATAGTAATATACTCTTTAAAATGTTAAATAAGTAAAAGGTATTATTATTATTATAAATTAGCATATCTGAATAAAAAATATATACCTATCATAACCAGGTTTCTATAATCTGTTCTATAGGGATGCAAAAAACTACACTGTTATTTTATTCTAAAACTAGAGGCTCAGTGTATGGATTCATGCACATTGAAAGGAAATTAATTAGAAGAAATATTTTAGCCAAAATCGGTTTGTCTTAATGGATAGAGCATTGGCCTGCTCTAACATTTCAAGCTGTCTGGAGAATGCTGGCTTGCAGAATCAAGCAGCAGATCAGCATGGGTTGCTATCAGAGGTTGTGTTATCAGTGGCATGGGGTAATTTCTCTGCCTGATTCATTTTCAACATTATCTCCTGGGAAAAGGTTCTAAAATCATTTGAAAGGTCCCAGGTTCGATTCTGGTCAAGGGCATGTACCTTGGTTGCAGGCACATCCCCAGTAGATGGTCTACAAGAGGCAGCTGATCGATGATTCTCTCTCATCGATGTTTCTGAGTCTCTATCCCTCTCTCTTCTTCTCTGTAAAAAATCAATAAAATATATATATAAAAAAACAAAACAAAAACAAAAAAAGAAGACATATTTTAGAGGCCAGGGAGGAACATGAGAGATTGGTCAGCTGGTCAATTGGACAGGAGGGCTCCAGGGCATGTCCCGTCACAATTGGACAGACCCCAGAGCAAGCTAACCTACAGACTGGAGCATCTGCACCCTGGTGGTCAGTATGCATCATAGTAACTGGTCAAATGGTTGAACAAATGATGGGACATTTAGCATATTAGGCTTTTATTATATAGGATAGATAACACCATCAGAACTTTGTTTGGTCAGTTTCTTCAAGGACATATTTATTGAAAGGATCTCTTAAATTGCAAGGTGTCCTCAGAATGCAGAGGTTAAGAATAATTGTATTGGAATTGGACATCAGGATACCTCATTTTATATTTAAAATCAAACCACAATTTGTAATTTTATGTCATTCGGTTGCCCTGATTAGTTATGGAATTGATGTAGTATCTATCTTTGCCAGGCTACCTGTCCTCTCTGCATATAAGGTGCAAGTCACCCTTAGAAAAATTAAGGCTTAGGTCCCACTAACATTTCAAACAATAACTAATATCTTTGGAAAATTTTAGAACCTTTTCCCAGGAGATAATGTTGAAAATGAATCAGGCAGAGAAATTACCCCATGCCACTGATAACACATCCTAGTCCTGTTTTCAAATGAATTCCCATTTAAATGTATAGCTTCATATGCATATAATTTAGGTGATCACCAGAGGAAAATAATTTTCAAAATCTAATTTAATTCATTTGAGAAGGCCATGAACCAAAGAAAATGAAGGATGTCAAGGAAAATGAAAAAATATATACCAACCAATAACAGGTTTCATTTCTTACAAGGAAAAAAAAAATCAGTGCTCAGTAAGTTTTGAAAAGAGAATGAGGCCAATTCAGTTTGATCCTGTGGCAATACTTTGAAGCTTACTTTTTAGCTTAGTCTATTTTACATTTCCAGTTGCTAGGAAAGGCAAATGTATGCAATAAAGCAACACCCATGTGGATTGGGGTATTTCATTTTCTCCACTGTAGGAATGATTTGGATCTTACTTTTTCTGAAAGCATCTTTAAAGAATTCTTCAAGCTGTCTGGAGAATGCTGGCTTGCAGAATCAAGCAGTAGATCAGCATGGGTTGCTATCAGAGGTTGTAGTTGATTGATGTTGCTGAGAACTTCCTTTGCTTTGGCTGTGTTTTCAGGTGAATAGTAAATAAACTGGTAACCAGTACTACAACAACAAAGAGAAAGACAAGTTATACACAAAGCAGAAAGAATTTGCAGCCCTTAATATCAGATGGCAAATCATAAACATAGTCCATATGTCATTACTTCCTATTGAACAGATAAGAACTCTTCCAAGAGATTTTTACAGTGCCCTAAGAAGAGTTGTTTTTTAAAAAGTAAAATGAACAAGGTATTTTTTTAAGACTAGGTACAATAAATCTTGTTCTTACTCACCTACTAGGAACATTCTTTATGTTTACACATATCAAATATTAACAATCAAAATAAGTTAGAATTAGTATTAATTATTAATAAATGTGAGGTCACACAGCACAGAGGAAAAAGACTGAATATAAATCCCAGCTCTGGTACTTACTAGCCGGTGACCTTGAGTAGCCTTCTGCTCCCTCATGAGGTAGGTGGAGATAATTATCCAAACAATTACTTATAAGAGTTGGGTTGGGTTGGTGGTCATTCATGGGAAGTGCCTAACAGAGAGCTTGACACAGAGCAAGCAGCCAGAAACTACTACCTATATCTTCCCCCATGATACTTGGGACAAAGGGAGTATATTTTAATAGCTGAGAAAAGCATTTAATGCCAAGTGGGCATATGGAGAATTTTATTGTAGAGAAAAAAAGGCATTTCCAGCAAAATAAAAAATACATTCTGCTATTTTACCATCACCCTTTAAGTTCCTGTGGTTTTTCATTTGTTATAAAAAAAATCTAAAATTGATCTCTGCCTTTTAAAACCATCATCTAGGAATTGGTCAAGGAGGTTATGTGATGGAGTTGGAATTCCATGGTGGGAAGAAATCTATGGCCACTTTCATTAGGAAAGATAAAGGAGGCATTCCAGCAGGGAAAGGAAGAAAATAGCAAAGCACTAGGCAAAGGGGAAAAAGAGAGAGGTTATGGTTGTTGCATTCATATGGTTGGTGCAAAGCAGGCTTACATCCCTTTGTGTCCAACTGTCAAAGCACTTTTCACAATACCTTGCTACTATGTTGGGTACTTATTGAATATTTTCTCTATATTTACCAGTTACATTATTAAAATTCTCATCATGCCATTTCTTATTTTGAAATATTAGAACCCAATAAGAAAAATTTACATCTAGGAATCATTCTCCCTTTCCCTTTAAACACTAAGGATTTTCAGGCGAAAGTATCCATTTCTTCAGGAAATAATATTCCTTTGTAAACATATAATGACTATCATGCTACTTATTTAATTTTTTCTTGCATGCTAATGAAAAGGAATGTCCTTGCTTGCTTGGACTATTCTTATGACAGGACAAGAAGTCAATGAAGGGCATAGGTTCATGAAGAAAACACTTTGCTAATCTGTGACACTGAGGAGAATTTTCTCTCAATTTGGCATATGACTTGTAATTTCAGAAGCACAGCTTAAAAATGAAATAGACCTTACCTACTTAACATGTACAAGTAGCCCTGCGGCGAATCCATGCACTAAGGTAGTAGCTCTCTGCCACCCTCCCATAGCTCTCTGCCCGATGCCCCACCCTCTTATAGTTCCTCCCACTCCTCTCCTCCATTCCCCCCTTTTAGCTTGCTGTCCTGCCCCCTCCTGAAGCTCTCCACCACCCACTTGTAGTTCACTGCCCCACTGTCCTGCAGATCCGTGATCTGGTCATTACAAGGTCGGTCATTATGCCTCATAGAGTAATGGATAATTAGCATATTCCTCTCTTATTATATAGGATATTTTAATGCCAATTAAAGCCCTAGTCAAATAACAATGGTGAGGAAGAGAATGGAAACTATGTCTCTATCAATTATTTATGACTCTTTCTGGCTCTCCCAATCTTAGGCAGCACTAAGGCCCTTAACTAAGGCCCTTAACAAAAATTATCTGTACTCAGATTTGGTACAAAGTTCAACCCACCAGGCTCTTTTGTAAATCAAACAACCAGGTGCTATTTTTGTAAAAATAATGATGATATAAATATATTGATGGGACATTGGGGTGGGGATGATGTTCGATGCCCAGCAGAGAGTCAAGACTTACTACCCACCCGACACAGAAGGCAGTGTGTAGTGGCTGTTCCATGATCCCTTTCCACTAGTCTGCTCCTCTGGCATTACACTTTACTCTCTGGTGTCATCTTATGGGTACTTACAGGCCTCCAATGGTTTAGCTCTTGCTTGGAAAGCTAGCCTTCTCAAGGTCGAGTGTGATCTTTCATTTTCCTCTTAACATAACTGTCCTCTAGTTGAGGCTGTCATTCCTTGCCTCTCATACAGTCACTTCTGTATATTTTTTTTTTCCTACGTATTTCTTACTCTGCAAATTCCCTTAGTGTCTCCTCTCCATTTGAATGGAGCATGTACATTTTCAAGATTTATTTCTCAAGTGTTCATTTCATCTATCCTAGTTCAGCTGTGCTCAAATTTTAGCAGACATAAGATTGACTTGGGGATGAGGACAGGATCTGAGTGTTTTGCTTTTATTAAGTGCACATTTCCTGGCAATGCCAGGAGGTTCTGCCTAGTAGGTTGTAAAATTTGTAACAAAGGGAAATTCCCATGCAGGTGGAGAGGAGAGTACTGGCAGGGACACCTGCTGTCATTGTTTTGACCTGTATCCCCTCTGAACCCTTGATTTTTTATACAATAATTCTGATAAAAGTTCAGTAATCTTGCCCTAAATTCCTTATCCTGAACTAATTTTAATTTTCATAAACCTTTTACAAAGCTACTTTTGTACTCCATTTTTACATTTAGCATAAGATGCTTCGATTCCTTTCCCATTACCAACGTTGCCTTCCCTAACACCAGCCCTTCTTCTTTTCCCTCCTAATATACCTCCCACCCTCTTCCTTTCCTCCCCTCCAATACATTCTTCAGTCCCTGTCCTGGGACATAAGCATAACCCTGCCTTGCTCCTAAGTTGGTCTGTCGAAGCAGAGTTAGGCAGCAGGCATCGCTTCTCCCACTTTGGTCCCATAACAATGAGCACCTTACCTAGTGAGGCTGAAAGATTCATTTCCCTCAGTAAAAGCCAATGTTGGTGTCTGGGGTGAAATAGTATGGCATGGAAAAAAATATCGCCGCCACAAAATAAGTTTAAGTAGATATAAATTTCATCTACCTATTCAGTGCCTTATTCTTATACATGTCATATATTTTCACAGCTATAGCTTCTTAAATGGAAAGTTATGAGTACAATTTAATTATTGAGATAAAAAGAATATAGCAAAACTCTGTTTTATAGTCTGAAATTTAAACTGAATCCAAACACTTGAATTAAGTTCCAATCAGACAAAACCAGCAAAAGTGCAATATATCTGCTTGGACAAAAAATAATTTATAGGGTGTAAATACTATAGCAAATCATGGACCATGAAAATTGAAATGGGCTTCATAATAGTTTTCCACTGGTAAAACAATTAAAATGTATATATGTGAATATATACATTTTAGTTTCTATTTATTTAAATTCTTTAATATCATTTAATTAGAACACACACATATTCACATGTAGGTGTGTGTATGTTGTTTATGGGGGGTGTTATATTTTGTAGATATAAAGAAAAATAAAGCAGGCAGTGAGTTAATATTCATATTGATATACTCTAATTAGTACCACAATACAATTTGGATAAGGACTGTATATCATGAGGGAACATCCCACTTGGGTTGCTTTTCCTGGTCCTCCTGCATCCCCATCCTCTAGTGTTGACTAGCTTCAGGGTTCAGTCCTTGGAACTCCTGCTTTTTAAAAAATCTACATGTCCCTTCTAAATAATCTCATTTAATCTGTTGGTTTAAATACCTCAGTTGTGCTAATGACCCCCCAAATCACATGTCTAACCCAAACCTATTTTCTTGAACTCCAATGACAAACAAAATCCCAGGTTCCCTAGAGTGGCCACTAGTCGGGAGGCAGTGTGCTAGAGGAGAGGCCAGGTGAGTCGCCAAGGTGGTGTACCTGATCCCGCATTTGCACAAGGTGGATGAGACCATCCTTTCAGAACACCTAGCGGTTGACATTTGGTTCAGGCACGATTGGGACACAAGTGCATGAAAGTGGACTAGGTTCTGGACAGCACAGCAAAGGAGCTTAAACATTTGGCAGTTATTCATCTTGTGGAAACTACATTAGTACCTGACTTCAACAAAATATGAGTTATACGATCCATGGACTATCTTATTTTTCTTTAGTGAAAGCACATCAGGATAGCCTGGGTACTGGCATCAACCAGATCAACCGGGCCAAGGAAGACAAGCAGGAAATGATTGACTTCTTAGAGGTTGTGTACCGGAAAGGCTGGCCTGGTCGTGTTCCTGAAGGACTGACTTCTCCACAAAGTACAGATACTGAATGTTTGTCCCAGATTTGCTGTGCTGTGCTGTGGACTCATGTTCACTTCCCCTTTGAGAAAGTGTTTGTAGTCAGCCTGGCACTGTACTTTAATATTTTCAAATGTCGGTAAGTCTCCAGCTGAAGTAAACAAATACATGATAATGGGAACAGTCAAAAAATCAAACTAACAAACAGAAGCTCTCCTCTTGACACCTCCAACTCCCGATGTTCCCAGCTGGGCTTCTGAGATCTCCATTCTTAACCTCCAGTTCCTCCCAATCCCTATCCTCCCAAACTAGGTCCCAGCAAGTGCATCTGCTATGGTCTATGTCTCTTCTCTTTCTCTCCTACCATTTCTCCAATTTTTCAGAAAATTCTGCCTTTTCCTTCGAAATTCATGCAGAACCCACCCGCTTATTTTCACATTCACTACAACCACCCTGGTGCAAGCCACCATCATCTTCGATCCTCAGATCATTGTGAGAGCCTTGAAACTTTGTGTCCTTACCCTAAGACATTAAGATTCTTGACTTATGCTTAGATTTGAAGGTGGCCGGAGCAGACAAGGAGAGAGAAATAAAGCAATTCTTCCTTAGTTCCCTGCCCACACCCCAAATTCTGGGAATCGTTCTGCCACTTATCTTTCCACCCCCATGGGCACTGTTCCCTCCAC